CCTGCCCCATGGCTGTAACCTGCTGTCCTGCACTGATGACGACCTGCTCGTCTACTTGGAGGCCCGCTGGCTCCCCAACCGTCAGGTGAACAATCCGAGTCCCAACACCGTCAACAATCATCTGGGTCTGCTCTCCGGACTGTTTAACCGCTTGGGCCACGGCAGCACTTACAACTGTGGAACCGGCATCAGCAACCCCTGCTGCTCCAGCGCCTTGTCCTCCTACAAGACTGGCTATAGTCGCCTCGCCGCTGACTGTGGCTACGAGGAGCAAGCCGCCGTGCCCCTTACCCCTCGCGATTTTACCACCCTCATGGATCACCTCTGGTCCGGATTCCAGGCTTCCACCACCTCCCTAGCCCGCCTGCTGTTGCAACACGATATGTTGTGACTGCCAATTTATGTGGCACACCAGCTACCACGGCCATGACACAGGCAAACTGCGGCTACATGATTTCTGTGACCCGCAGGGTGGTGGTCCCTTCCGTGAAATACCGGACCCGTTCGGTGCCTACCCCTCCCTCTCCTTACGGATTGAGCAACTTGGGACCAAAACATCCAAAGGGCGCCGAGCTCCCCCTTTGGAACTGCGCCCCGGCCCTTCTCCGCGACATTGCTTCATCCGCACCTTCGCCCTCTATTGGCAGCTGTGCCATGCCCCCGATGCCCCCCCAGGGTCTGCCATCTCCGACTACCTCTTCCATCCCACTGACCGGGGTCACCAACACTTCGTGGAGCGCCCGTTTTCCAGCAGCACTTTGGCCATGCGAGTGGGCAAATACCTGGAGGAGGCTGGTGTTTACGTCGGGCAAACCCCTCATGGGTTTCGTCGTGGTATTATCCAGGCCACGCAGGCCGCCGGCGCCTCCCACGAGGAGCTCCACACCTTCTCCCAGATCCGCAGCCCTCAAGTCCTGGAGCGCTACACCGACGCCTCTCGGCCCACTCATGTCCCTCGCGGCTCCGGTCCCCAATCCTAGCCTCCGCCTCCTGCTGGTGCTGCCCCTCTTAGCCCTGGTGCTCACTTCGTGGCTCGTCCTCCCCCCTTTCCCCATCACATCGACGGGCGGGTGGGCGGGGTTCTGACTTGTGCCTGCTTGCACAGTTATCGGGCGATCTTGCGTTGTCTGAAGTTAGCGCCTTGTTCCCAGCTAATCTTTGTAACGAACTAGGGTATCCGTCCCTGTCCTCTGCCCAGCTCTGGGCTGCGAATTCCTGCGCCACACTTGCCGTACCGCACTACAGGACGAGCACTTAATCAACATGCATTGCTTAAATGTCAGCGTGTGATCTGTACTCCCTACTAACTTTCTGTGGGAAGGCCGTTGCGTCTGCGACCACACTCCCGTGTACCCAAACCCTTCAAAGATAACTCCGACCAGCCCCAAAACACACCACGGAGCGGTCTCCCCTTCCCCACTCACTTCCCAGGTGGTACCCTGGGTCCTCTCGCTCACCAGCCCCT